TTTCCCTTGGAGGGGGGTTCTCAACCCCTCTGCAGGGTCCTGCCAGCTCGTTGCTGCCTTGGGGCTTTTCTGGAGCTGCTGAGGGTCTTGGGGTTCAGGGCTGCCAACCCCCTTCCTGTTCCTCGAGGCCTCTCCTTGCCAGGCTTTGATACTACAGGGAATTTGGGTGGGGGTCCTGCTCTCCAATGGTGGTTGTGACCACCTGGTGCAGAAAACCAGTTGGTGCTGGTGCCAGGAGGATGTACTGAGCTTGTGCCTGAAGGGCTATTTGTTCTGTGTCCCATCAAACTCACTGGAAAGGCCACTTGGTGCTTGTGGCTGGTCCCTGTCTGTGTGGGGTTGATGCAGTAAAGTCACCCCCTGTCACTGCCAGGTGACTTTGATGATGCCTGCCCCTTCAGACTCATCCCAGGGGGCTGTGTCCCCACCATGAATCTGGCAGGGGTGTGGGAGCAGCATGGCCAGAGGACTTTTATCTCTGAGATCTCTCTGCCTGGATTGTGTGGTGGTGGGTGAGAGCTCTCCTCTGCATCAGGGCTGCTGGCAAAACTTGGGGGACCTGTGGGGGGTCCCTGACCAGAATGTGTGTGTGTGGGCAGCCATGACAAGATGGGGATGGTGGTTGACAGCTCCAGGAGCAGTGGGACCACTCCTGGGCTGTGTGCGTGGTGGTTACTGGTGTAGAAACAACCCAGTGGGTAGCAGGGACTGCTTTCCTCCTCATTTCTTTTGGAGTCACTGCTGCCCCAAGGTGGCCTGTCCTAAGGCAGGATGTTTTCAGGGGGGATGGTGGCAGTGGATGGGAGGTGCCACCCTGCAGTGCTGCTGGCCAAACTTGTGGGCACAGGCATGCAGTACCAGGGCAGAGACAATTCACAGGGACAGGTATGCGTGTGAGTGTCACCAGGAGACTTTGGCACAGTCATGGGAACAACAGAGCAAGGATAGGCAGGGATGGTGAGGTGATGAGAGCTTGGCCTGGCAGAGCTGTGGTGGTTTTTGCTGAGGGCTGGGTGGCTGTGGCACCCATGGGCTCCTGAGGCTGTGCTATTTGATGTCACCTCCTGATCTGGCCAGCTGGTCCCAGGTGCAGCTAGACAGGATCTTCAGCATCTCTACCATAGCCTGGCAGGGGTTATGTGCCTCCTGCTCCTGCCTTCCCCCTGCAGGTCCTGCTGGGCAAGGGGACACAGCTCAGGCTGGGGGGATGCTTGGCATGTGGAGAGAAGCAGGGAGTTGAGGGGCTTATTTTGCCAGAGCCTACCCCACCTGCGCGCTCAGAGGGTCTGCGCCTCGGGGCCAGCTCCGAACTGGGGCCGTGGGCTGCCATGCATACCTTGCCGGTCCCAAATCCATCCCATCGAGCCTGCCCAGGGCCGGGCAGGGGGAGGAGGGGGTGGCCAGCTTGCCGTGGGATACTGAGGTCGCAGTCCCTCCCCCCAGCCCCTGCAGAACTGCT